ATGAAAATAGGTAACTTGAAATAAAATTTGAATTAATAAATTCCAATACTTAAGAAAAGGCCAATCAAAACAGGTGTGGTGGTTTATGTTTGCAATCCCAATTACACAGAAAGCTGAGGCAGGAGAGGATTACAAGCTCGAGGTTAGTATGGGCAAGAGAAACCTGTTCTCAAAATTAAAAAAGCATCAAGGACTAGCAATGTATAGCACTTGTCTAGCAGGAGGGAGGCCCTGTGTTCAATCCCTGTCCTACTAACAAATAGTAAAGGCTTTATGGGCCATATAAGACTGTTACTTATTACTGCTCTTTTTTAAAAAAATACTGCTTTAAAAGTACAGAAATCATTCTCAGCTTATGGGCCATACAAGAACAGAAACATGAGCAGAATACTAGGATAGCACTATAGTAACTGCTGCTAATAAACAGAGGCAAACAAGAGAATGTACTTATCCTTATAATACTGAATATGCTTTCTAGCATACCAGTTATCACTGATGCTGATGAACATGGAACCTAAATTATGATCCGTATCTTGCTTTTTACTCCAGGCCCTGAGCTAGTTCTGGGAATGAACAGAAAGACAAGAGAAGGCCTAGATATCAAAGTGCCCATAGACTAGGAGCATTTGATAGAGGCAAACATAAGCACAGATGGGAGAACAGGAAGGGACAGACTCTGCCCTCAAGAACTGAGTTTCATGAAGGAGAGGGTATTCCCAGGAAAGAGCAGGCACAAAGCAACTGATATTCACCACTCTTCAGACATCTGGAGTATAAGGCAGTGGGCAAAACTTAAACAAGTAGACAAAAAATGAGGGCCATACCAGGGGCTGACTAATGGGAGTCCAGACTTGACCCTCAGGAGTTTTAGGCAAGGAGTACCAAATATAATCATACATTTTGGAAGATCACTTACTTTATTACATCAAGGCCTATTATTTTCTGTAAAGGGCTAGATAATAGCAAAAGCTTTATGGGCCATATAAGACTTGCTTATTACTACTCTTTAAAAAAAAAATACTGCTTTAAAAGTACAGAAATCATTCTCAGCTTATGAGCCATACAAGAACAGATTACAGGGCTGGCCAGATAGCTCAGAGCCTGCTTAGGCAGAGTAGTGCATCCGGGGTTAGATCCCTGGCCTCCAGTCCTGCCCCTAGGGCAAGCTGAGAGGGAGATTGAGACGGATGGTGTGCCTGTAATACCAGCACTTGGGAGGCTAAAAACAGGAGAATCACTGAGTCCGATCTACATACAGAGACCCTATAGACTCTGTCCTAAGTACATTAAAAAAAAACAAGAACAGATTACAAGTCTAGTAGTTTCACAGCCTCTGTTAAATAACACCAGGGAGGAAATTTAGTTCTCTTTCCCATCTTGCAAGATAGCGGGTGAAAAAACTGAGAAGGCAGACACTAAAGAGAAAAAACCCGAAGCCCAGAAGGCTTCTGCCAGTCATACTGGTAAAAAGGGTAAGGTGAAGGCAATAAAGTCCAAGAAGGGGTAGCCCCATTGCAGCCGAAATCCTGTCCTGGTTAGAGGAATTGGTAGATACACCCAATCTGCTATGTATTCCAGAAAGGCTTTGTATAAGAGAAAGTACACAGCCGCTAAATAAAAGAAAAAGGAGAAAATTCTTGCTACGATCACAAAACCGGTTGGTGGGGACAAAAATGGAGCTACCTGGGTGGTTAAGCTTTGAAAAATGTCTAGATACTACCCTGCTGAAGATGTGCCCCAAAAGCTCGAGCCATGGCAAGAAACCCTTCAGTCAGCATGTGCAGAAACTTTTAGCTAGCATCACTCCTGGAACCATCTTGATCATCCTCACCAGGCATCAGAAAGGCAAGAGAGTGGTCTTCCTGAAGTAGTTGGCCACTGGCTTGCTACTTGTGACTGGGCCTCTGCGCCTTAATCATGTTCCACTCCGAAGAACACACCAGAAATTTGTCATTGTCACCTCTACAAAAATTGACATCAGCAAAATGAAAACCCCAAACACCTCACGGATGCTTACCTCAAGAAGCTGCAGAAACCCAGACACCAGGAGGGCAAGATCTTCAACAATGAGATACCAAATTTCAGAGCAGCACAAGGTAGATCAGAAAGCGTGGACTCACAGATTTCAGCAAAAATCAAAGCAATTCCTCAGCTCCAGGGCTACCTGTGATCTGTTTTTGCTCTGACAAATGGAACCTATCCTCATAAATTAGTGTTCTGAATTTCTTACTAAGAACCTAATTAAATAACTGATACATTTAAAATAAATAACACCAAGGAATCAAAGTTAAGATGGGATAATGGTATTGGAGTTCTTATGTGTTTTCTGGTTTTTTTTTTTTTTTTAAATGTTACTTGAAGTATGCTAGGTAAACTGCCACAGTATATGGAACTTTCTTGATATCTCAACCAAGAAAAAAATGAAAAGGTAAAGATGAAACAAATACAGCAGATTACTAAAACTACTGAATCTGAGGGATGATTTTATGAAAATTTGCTATAGTTTTCTACTCTCCTGTACATTTTTTCATTAAGAAAAAATGTTTGAAAAACAAACATCATCTGTATTAGCTGCAGTAGGAGAATGGATTGAAAAGAGTGATAACCAAGACCTAGATTTCCAGGTTACTATAAGCCAATCAAGAAGATTTGTGGTAGCTGTCATTGACACAAAAGGAATTACTCCAAAATCACAACTTATTCAGAGCAAAAAAGCATCGAAATTCTCAAAAGTTCGTAAGGCTAAATGGAAAATCGCACTCTAGTCAATTTTTAACCAACAGGAAGCATGACAGTATTTACCCAGTCACATCTGTCAAAAGTCAGCCACAGAATGTTCTCTTTTCTTTACAAATTATGTATGACCCACACCTCTGCTCATTTCTGTGCTTGTTCACATTGTCATCAGTGCCCATAAAAGTTCATACAGAGCCAGGCATAGTAGTGCACACCTCTAACCCAACACTAGGGAGGCTGAAGCAGGAAAATCACCAGGAGTTCAAGGCTAGCCTGGGCTACATAGTTAAAGGCCAACCTAAATATCTTGTGAGACCCTGTCTCAAGCAAACATAAAAACAAACCAAAACAGTTTATACAGATAGTTAGACCCTGTACTTAATTTTTCTCCAGAGTCAGGAGCCACTTCTCAAGAGTCTAGGCAACTCCCCAGAGCAACTGTGTCTCACTCTGGCTGGAAATCCTTTCCTATTGAGTACAGAAAAAGGCAGATGCAATACAACAGCAACTACTCTAAATTTCCAGAGTCTAAATATATTCTAAGGGCAGTGTGACTTGAAAATGGATAGAGAAAAAAACAAAAATAAAGGAATATGACCACAAAATGCTTACCAAATCAATAGAATACCTGAACCAATCAAAGTTGGGACTAAAAAGTGACTGAAAAAAGTGACACAAAGATGAAAGTACGATCTGTGTTCTTGTTATTCTGGAATTTAGTTTATGGATATCAGAACTGTAAATGGTTAACATGAGTTGTTTCTCCAAAAGGAGGAGAAACCTCCTCAATAAGGTTCAAAAGTGGTTTTTCTCCAAACTTAAAAAAAAAAAAAGGAATAGAATATTCTAATACTTCATAAAAGACAGATTTCTAGTCATCCCAAAGAAGGTAACTAAAGGAAAATCAGAAAGCAAACTGACTTTTTAAGGTAAAGGAGAATGGACTGGCTTGATGAGAATAATGGATAGAACTAGCCTACTAAGCCAGTACAGGGCTAAATACCATAAACACAAGTCTCAGGAAAGAAAAATTAGTTTTTACTTAGTTGTATTTCTTCTATACTACAATAATAATAATAATGACTCAACATACTTAACAATCTGCCAATAAATGGCTGAGTTAATGTAAACAAAAATCTGTTTAGCCCCACCCTGCGTTAAACTCCCAGTATCACAGAACAATCTAACAACCTTAACCTACAACAAAGCCACTCAATATACCACTGTTTAAGGTAACAAAAAAGTTAGGACTGGTTACAGGGGTTCTTCTATAATCTCAGCTATTGGGAAAGCAGAGGCAGGAGAATCTGAGGTTCAAGCCCACGCCAGAACCACCTGAGATGCTCCCAAAATAAAAATTAAAAATAAAAGTAAAAAATCGGGCTGGGGCTGTAGTTTAATTTAGCATTCCTTGGGTTCAATCATCAGTATTGGAAGAAAAAGGAAAATAAGAAACAACCAGATGTACACATATATTTAAAATAATGAACACCCAAAACATCTGAACAGTGACCAATCCAATACCAAAGTTGTAAAACAATCTCAATGTCATCTGATAGATAAAATAATTTATAACATTAACTTAATAGTATAAGTAATGGGGCAGGCGAGTTGGATTCCATCACCTGTCAAAATAAAGGTGGGCTTAATTACGTTTACACTTGTCTGTATTCGGATAAGAAATCCTGGCAGAATACACGCAAACCAACAAAAGTGGTTACCTAAGGAGGTAAAGCCTAGGAACATAAGCTAAGAAAAGTGAAAGGAAGTCTTTTCACCAACTTTTTAGTGCTTTTAATATAGAAGCCATGTTGAACGTATTACACGTTCAAATATTATTTTAAATAGTTAAGTCCTGCTGCCTGCCTACATACCAATACCCCAAGACCTAAGTCCTGCAGGCCGCTTTGCTTTCCTATACCACCAACACACCCTAGGCTGGCGGCCCGCGCCTCCTCCCAGGCCCTCCCGCCCCGACCAAGGCCAGCCCCTACCTAGTCACCTCCTCAGTTTGGGCAGCGCACGTCAGGTACACAGCTGCTTCCCTAATGCAAGGGCCGGAGCACGCCCTCTGGGGGTGCTCTGTGACAGGAGTCTCAACTCAGTCTTCCACCTAAAAAGGGGGTGACAGGGCCGGCCCAGAACACCCCCAACTATTCCTCTGGCGCTGTATTTTCAAGTCCCAGGGCCAAACTTAACTTCTAAGGGGGGCGACAGAGCGCTATTTTAAAGAACAAATTTTCGGATTTCTGCTCCCTCCTCACCCGAGAGAGCCATGGACAGGTGACGCGCACGGGGCTGGGACTCAGGCCTTCACCGGCGCCGAGCAAATCTAGGCGGACCCCAGCCCGCCCTGAGGGAGCAGCGAGGCCGCCGGGGCGCGCGGACGAAGCAGGGCCGCGCCTTCCCCGGGGCCTGCCCGCCCGAGGTCTTTCTTCCCCTTTTCTCTCCCAAGCCCGCCTCGAGATGCGTCGGGGAAAGCTCGGTTGCTCCCAGATCCCGCCCAAGGCCTGCGGGACAGCCTGGACCCGGCCGAGAAGGAAAGGGCGTGGCAGGCAGGGTCCGGGGGCGGAAGCGCGGGCGGCCGCGGACTCACGTACTGGCTGTGGCGGCGCCGCGGGAGCCCGGCCGCCGGCGGGACAAAAGCGCGGACGGCCAGACCGGAAGCGCCCGTGTCGGCCCCAGGGCACTTCCGAGGCAGCTCTAGGACACTGGAGGACTGACTCGGTGGCACGTGCGCGCGTGCGTGCGTGCGCGCGCAGGCACGCGATCGGTGGAGCGCCCTGCGGCCTGCTCCCTGGGGTCGAGGGGATCTTTCAGGTCTCCGCTGGTGGGCTCGTCTGGGGCATGGCCTGCATGTCGCCGGCGGGGTCTTCTGTTTCAGCGGACTTTCCCTTCCGCTGTGGAGTAGGGGGCGGGGTGTAGGTTGAAGTAAACGAGTGGTTTGGTGGGATACAAATCTAACGCCCCACCGTGGTCCGTGTAGACCCGCAGCTACGGAGGCGGGGCGGGAGGTGGGCGCGGCGCTGGGGTCTTCGGGGAGCCCGGGAACCGCGGGAACGAGTGCCCCGACCCGAGCCGACCACACAGCGTCCTCCCCACGCAGGCTTCCACCTCCGAACTCGAGGCCCAGGGTTACTCTAAGATGTTCGCTTGAGGTTTGGCAGTCATCAGCTTTTAACCGAAAATCTGCATCTTTTTCCGGGTTTTAGCATCAGCTTTTATTTTCATGGGAGTTTTATCTTATCTAAAATATTTTAACTCCACCTGCCCCATTGAATTTTATTATTTTAACTATGTTATGCATTTAAATTTTATTCATTTAATGAAAATAAAATTCTGAGATGACCTGAATGCAGTTACAGGCCGGGAAATGCAAACAGCTAATAGCTTTTGGCCAAAACCAGCGAACTAAGAACCCTCCCAAACCTAACAAGACTGCTCCAAATTCTTGCACGTTCTTCTCTGGGACTATGGGCATTTGTGGGAACTTGTCTCAAGACCTTGTCCTCCTCTTGACTAGCATTCTCCCCCCCCCCCAGGGCCAGGAATTGAACTCAGGCCCTTGCATTTGCCAGGGAAGCGCTTATTACATCGAGCCATCTCCCCGGGCCAGTAAACCTAATTTCATATGTCCCTTAATATCTAGTGTTTGGGCTCCTAGTGAAGTTAGAAAATTACAGTTTTGTTTCATTTTTAATTGTTAATTATCTTCTGGATGCTTAGCAAACAAATATATTGTTAAATTTTATGGTCTGTTCTGCAAAAAGTGAAATGGTTGGAAAAGCAGTTTAACTTGTTATTTTACAGGGCTGGGAACGTAGCTAAGAGGCATAGGCAACCTGTCTGGCAAGCGCAAAGTTCTAAGTTCGATCCCTGGTACCTCCTCCCAATGTTATTTTATTAGTGTGTGCTATACAGAATAGCAAGTTTCATTTTGCCATATTGGCACATGTATGTACCACATTTTTTAGTATTTTCATACCTTCCATTTTCCTCCCCACATCATCTCATTTTCTGATATTCTCCTTTCCATTTTCCTGACCCTCTTTTGATTTCACACATGAAAGGAAATATATACTATTTGACTTTCTGAGTCAGGCTTATTTTGATTATATACATGATTTCTAAATTCAAACATTTTCTTCTACAAATGACATGATTTTGTTTGTCTTTATGCCTCAATAGTGTTCCATTCTGTGTATGTACCAGATTTTCTCTGACCATTCTGATGATGGACACCTAGGCTGGTTCCATAAGCTAAGAATTGTGCTACAATAAATGTAGGTATCTCTGTAGTATTCTGACTGTTCTTTTGGGAATATATCTATGTATAGCTGGATTAAATGGTAGCTCTACTTTTAGTTTTTGAAGAGCTTCCATGCTGATTTCCATAGAGGCTGTGCTCGTTAACCTTTCTACCAACAGTGGTAGAAATTACCCCTTTCTCTTATTTGGACACTAACTGCTTTTTGTGTTACTGATGACGCCTATCCTGATTGTAGTAAGAGGCAATCTTAATGTGGTTTGATTGCCTTTCTCTAGTGGCTAAAGATGTGCTGTATCTCCTCACATGCTTCATAAATTTATTGGCCAATTTCACAGTGTCTGTTCATTGTCCCACTTACTGATATTTTTGGTATTAAATCTTGGAATTCTTTATATAGTATTTTGAATATACTCTGTCAGACAAATAGCTCACAAAGACTTTCTCCCATGCTATAGGCTGTCTCTTTACTCTGATAATTGTTTCTTTTGCTTTGCAGAAGCATTTTAATTTGATGTAGTCCCATTCATTGATTCTTGATGTTATTTGCTATGATAAAGTCTTATTAAGGGAGTCTGTCTATATAGGTTTCTCCTGTTTTCTTCTAATAATTTCAATGTTTTTTGGCCTTATACCTACAACTTTGGTTGATTTCCAGTTGATTTTTGTACAGGGTGAGTGAAAAGGATCTGTTTTCATTCTTACATGGTTATATTCTTACAGTTTTCCAAGCACCATGTGTTAAAAAAGCTTTCACTCAATGTGCTTGTAATCCCAGAACTGTGGGAGGCTGACTGGAGGATTACAAACTTGAAATGAGCCTGGACAGTTTAAGTTCTTTTAGATCTTGTCTCAGAATAAATAAAAAGAGCTGGGGATGTAACTCAACAAAGGCCAATCTCCACTACAAGAAGAAAAGAGACAGTGGTTATATTTTCTCTAATATATATTTGGCCCCTTTGTCAAGAAGCAGATTATTGTAGTTGTGTGAGTTTGTTTCTGTGTCCTACATTCCATCTCCTTGGCCTACATATCTATTTCTGTGCCAGTACCGTTCTGTTATTGTTACTACGTGTAGTATATTTTGAAATGGAATGTTGTGATGCCTGCAGCATTGCTTGTACTCAGGATTACTTTGGCTATTGAGGGTGAGACAGGAGGTTAGGTTGTGGCAAGGTTGGATGGGGAAGTAGGTGTGATGTGTTAATTACAAAATCCTAGAATTCATGTACTGAACAGTTTCCAACGGCCTACATGCAGACTTCTCTTGAGAACTCAAGCAGGTTTTCCATAGGATAACCTGGGATAACATCTGCTTGAGGAATGGGTGACATGAAAGGGACAGTTCCCACTGAGGTTTTGACACTGGGTTCTCTCCTGCATGGTGACCCACCCTTATGCTATATGGTGTATTTTTTTCTACTTTTACTTGGCCCAAATTTGCTTTGCACAGCCTGTTTCTTTTCCAACCTTTACTACATGTAAAGCCTTGCTACCATTTGTAGTTGTATTGACTAATTCTTTGTTCAATATAGAGAACCTAGATTCCAACTCCAAAAGGAAAATTCAGTACTTCAAAATCCATTGGAGAAGCACCGATTTAATAAGAAGGGCTTTAGAGCAATTCAAATTATATAAGTTGGATGAATTTTATTGATCATCTTCTATACTGACTTATCATTTTTATTGGTGCAAGTGCTGAGATATCCTATTTACATGGCTAAGGAGAGGGAATATGAGTTTTATTTTACTAATATAACTTTCACTATACTTGAGCAGAATTCTGCACAACTCAAAAGGCATCTGAGCCAGTGACAAATACGCTGTTAAGAGCAGAGGGCAATAATGACTGCTAATGGGGAGCAAACCCTCAGGCCCTCCTCGGCCATGAGGTTTTAGGCCAGAGCACAAAGAAGTTGAAGATCAGGATGAGATTCTCTAGAGCTGTTCTAACCAGTATCTTAGACTCTAGCTTCTGAGCACTTGAAATGTGGCTAGTGTGCCTGAGAATCTGAATCTGTGTGTGTGTGTGTGTGTGTGTGTGTGTGTGTGTGTGTGTGTTACTGGGCATTGAACCCAAGTCATTTGCTCTTAGCAACATCTTTGGCCCTTTTATTTTTATTTGATTTTGAGATAGGGTCTTGCTAAGATGTCTAGACTGCCCTTGAACTGGTAGCCTCAGCTTCCCAAGCTGCTGGGATTGCAGTCGTGGGCCACTATGTGGTGTAGTGCAAAGCTATTTTTTTTTAAAACTAGAAATTGAATTCAGGGTTTTCACATGGAACCATATCCCTAGAGTCTTTTTTTTTTTTCTTTTTTTTTGAGATAGTGTCTGGTTACATTGCTAAGTTGCTCAGGCTGGGCTTCAACTTCTGATTCTCCTGCCTCAGCCTACCAGAGTTCTGGGATTTCAGAACTGTTCTACCAGGTGCTGGCAGAGGATTTAAATTTTTAATTATATTTATCATAAGTAGTCACGTGTAGCTAGCCACATTACTGGACAGTATAGTCTTAGTAGGAACGTCAGGAAGTCTTTGTAAACATCCAGAAGAATTCACACTCCAGACCGAAGGCTGTCATCCAACATTGAGTTTTGCATTTAGACAATATATTAAAATGTTTATATACATGTTGGGACACTGTTCAATAAAGGAACTATGGGGGAGAGGTATCATTGGAGCACTATATAAAGTTCCTAATTCAGGTTATAGTCATATAGTCTATGTATTTTATAGTGTTTTTACAAATGATATTGTACGTTAGAAGTTTCCGTGTTATTTTTCAATATTCTATTTAACTATAATTTCAGCTATTATGTTAATCTCTGGAGTTATTTCCAAATAAATCTTCTCTTTCAAAAATGTAAGTTGGATAATACTGTGCAGAAGGTTTTTTTTCATATTTCTCTTGGAATAGTTGACAAGAAATATGAGTGAACAGACAAAATATCTAAGAGTTTTGAAATATACACACCCACATGTAAACATTGTAGAAAATTAGATGCATTAATAAGCTTACAGGGAAAACAATAAAGAACCAGAAAAAGATGTTACCCATAATTTACTATTACAGCTGTATAAGAAAAAAAGTAGAAGATAACATTGAAAAGCAGGAGTATAATTATCCTATTTTCAGATAATAAGAATTTACTTTGGAAAGATCACAAGATTTAAGTTTTAAAACTAGAATAAACATTAAAAGCGTTCTGTAAGATGGCAGGTTTTAAAATTAACACAAAGTGTTTCCTTATTTACAAACTACACTCAAAATAATGAAAGGAAAACTACACTTATAATAGAAGCAAGAAAGTAAAAGACCACC